TTAAAAGGCATATCTAACCCTTGAAGCAATTATAAACATACAGTATGTCTGGTATCCAAATAATGACCTCACCAGTCTGGAGTCCTTCCATTGGCTGCAGTTTAATGATGTCACCCTTGCTGAAGTTGAGTAGACTCTTGTCATCTGTCACAAAACTTTTCAGGGCAATAACATGGCCTGAGTCCTAGAAAGCAGGGAGAAAGATGTCTGGCAGGGTGATATATGGACTAAAAGTGATGGGTCCCTAACATGGCATAAGATCACATGGTCAAAAAATGCTACAAAACATCAAAAGCAAAGATGACTGATGATGATGGTGATTAAGAGAGAAGAAGTACCTTGATGAGCTCCTGGAGGAACAATCGTATCATGGCAGTGATCTGAGGAGCTCTGGTAGACTGCAGTACCAAGTCCTCACTTGTTAGCTCCAGTCTCACTCTGTCTGCACCCTGGAGGTCAACTGACAACAACTCTGCAAAACTACATTCATGCAGCCCTGAGTTAAAATTATGTGCAAGAGACATCAAATACAATGAATTAAGATGAGGACAGTAGAACATATATGGTAGAGAATAAATAATAGACACTGCAGATGACATTTTGAAATAGAGCTGCACTAATGCAAATATTTATTCTAACAGAGGAAACAATAACTTTTGTGTAAAGTGAAAGGTTAACTAAAGTTATGAACCCACAGAGGATTATCACCAATATCCGTAGTTCCTCTCAGATCTTCTTAGTGTCTATCAGCTGACTGTTTTGGCTTTATAGCCTCTAAAGTAGTTAGACATGGCATCCCATTGCATGAAGCAATCTGTTGTGGGTTCAGGCTCAATCACTGTTTATCTTCCCAAAATCTATATATAAGCTAAACTAAAGCAAATAGTAAGAGAGAGAAAGATAAAGAGGGGCAAACATAAAAGTGAACTGAAACAGAAATGACTGCATTTATCCAATCCACTTGACAATTTGTCTCTCAGTCACCCATTCACACAAACACATGAACTGACCACTGGGAGTAATTTGGGGTCCCGTGTCTTACATATGGACCGGGGGAGCTACTTAAATTTAAATTTTATTTTATTCTTCAGTGTGTATAGTCTACAACCATGTTGCAAATACTATGAAAGATTGATTTGTTGGTATTCTAGCCATATCTTTTAAATGTGGTTCCAAAGTTGACCATCCAACAAGCTGTTTTGATGGAGTACACAGCATCAGTCTTGCAGTCCTGATTCCAGCCTTCTGACTGGAGCTTTCGGGGGCCCCATTAGGTCTGGGGCCCTGGTGCAGTGTCCTCTTTTGCCCACAGTCCCCAGTTTGCAATCCAGCTTTATAGCTCAAAACCATTTAGGAAATGGTTTGCATGACATGGAAATGTAAGCTCACTACTGTTACTTTCTGTCTTGACTCAAAACATCAACTAAAACAAGAATGAAACTGAAAAATGAATTTAGAAATAATCATTTTGCTTATTTTTGGTCGTGTTTGTGTGAGTCAGATGCATGTGTACCTGTAGCTTCTGAGCTGACAGAGGTGTTTGGGGTTGATGCCTGATGCTCTGACTACCTTCAAGAGATGAATCCTGCGGTGAGACACACCCAAAATCTGAGCATCCCCGCTGTCTACCTGCAACAAATACATACAGAGTAGTGGCACTTGCTGGTTGTAAATGGTGAATGGTCTGTTAATATCCAACAATGACTTTACTGCATGAAACAGCTATTATATGTCTGTAAATACTGTAAACATTAGTGTTTTGATTGAAGTATTTGCAGGTCCACACAGTAAAATTTCCACTCTGTTGCTGTAGCTGCAATGTGATGAAGCAAGAGACACTGAGATGCTTTATGCTCAGAAAGAATCCTACATTATCCCTGACTTTGCCATGACTCCTTTTGCCTTCCTAACCTTCACAGGGAAGAGTCGACTAAAGTAGTTTTCCCAGTTGTCTCGAGCAGCAATGACAATCCTCTTCTTCATGGTGTCATCCTGGATGGTGCTTATAGTTGTTCCCACATTGAAATTCGCTATAGAGGCCACATGGTAAAAATAGGGCAGTGGAGAGAAAATAATTCAGAAACAAATTATTTTGCACTGTGTGCAACTACTGTTATAAGTGTTAGTTTGCAACAAACTAATTTTAATCACAACTGCAGTAACACATGCAGCATCCAGCCTAAATTAATCTGTCAAAATACTCACCTAGCAAATCCTTCATCTTCCTCCTCTCCTCTCTGCTGATCCTCAAACAGCTGTCTGAGTACGTGTCCCTCATGATCTTAAACACATGACACAGTGATAGTGTTTACTGCCTTCAAAGTGCAAGGAAGATAATTAGCATTGCCTTGAAGGGTACTGTAGGTATTGGGAGTGCTCAGTAAACTACAGTACTTCTGACTAAATGGGATGACACCTGTAATGCACTAACCTGTTCACATAGCAGACTGAGGATGTAAGGATGATTGAACAGCTCTCTGGGGTAAAACACCTGAAGACAAATAAATTATAGTTAAAATTAAGAACTGTAACAATTACTGTAGGTTTTAAGTTCAAATCAACTGCATAATGAAATGCATTATAAATACCCTTATGTTAGTGTGAATACAGCTGTTATTTCTATGTTTGAGGTGGATAAAAAGTTGCCAGTAAGTAATTCCAACACAAAACTCCACACAATATATAAACAACAATATATAACATAACACAAAACAGGACTGAAAGAGAGCAGGGAGAAGAAAAAATAACATAGTGGTTAAAAATAAACAAGGTTCCA